CCCAACCCTCACCTACAGACCCTTCCCTCTGGCCACCTGGTAACAATTGGTGGTCTTACTGGACTCTGAGACCTTCAAGGCTCCTTTAATGCAAGATGCCAGAATTAAGATGGAAATAGGGATCCCCAGACTTGCCTCTCATGGGGGCTGTGACTCCAGGGCCCCCTGCCCTGCCCCAAATGCCCTCCTGTTTCTCCCAGCCCTCTACCTTCTCAGTGTCTTTCCCCAGGGGACTCAAGAGAATGCCTCTCTCCCACTCCTAACAGAGCTGCTCTTCCCGAGCAGCTGTCCCTGCCCTCTCGTGAGGGACCCCAGGACAGAGTGCAGCTCTTGTACAGCTACAAGGAGCCAGAAGGCAGGACTGCATGCTGACATGGGCCAGGGGCCAGTGCTGGGTGTTTATTGCCTGTGCCATCGACCTGCACAGCTCTCTGTTTATCTGTCTTCCTGACACACCTAATTACCCAGGTTGCAGCTGCCAGAGCGTTTGCTCTTCCTAAATCACGGGCTCCCGTCTCTCCTGTCGCCCAGGCCTCCGGGCCTCTGCCTGCAGAAGGGCTGCCATTGATTTTGCCATTCCCATTTATGATCTACAAGGCTCTGCATGGCTGTTGCACATTTTACCTTAATTAGTTTATTCTTCTGGGCATCCCTGGTGAGATCGGGAGCCAGGAGGCTGAAGAGGGGGAAAGGCAAACAGCACAGGCACCCTAACACCTCCGGCTGAAAAGCTCTGAGTCTGACCAGACATCAGCACTTTAGGACAGCAACTTGCTAAAAACAGCACCAGTTATGCAGGGTTCTAAGGAGTGGTCTACAAAAAGGGGTTCCATGGCCAAGATGCATTTGGGAAAGGCTGGGTTAAATAAAATTAAACAGGTAATTTGTTGCAGGTCTTTTTGAAGTTCTAATAGATTAATGTCCAGTGCACTTGGGCAAGTGTGCGCTCTTTCCCAAGCTCAGATGATCACAGAGTCTTTTCTCCAGGTGCCTCCTAGAGCTCAGAGTCCCACAAAGCACACTTTGGGAAACGCTGCCAGGGTAGGCAGGAGGAATTGGAGGTGAGAAGGCAAACAGAGGGGGATAGAGCCACCCTAGACTTAGTGTCTCCTCTTGATAGCTAAGGCGGGAACTCGGCAGCTTGAGAAATTTCTCTCACTGATGCCAGAGGTGTCCATCAGAGCTCTGCGGAACCCCAGCTGCCACGCCCATTTTCTCCCCAACTCCACCCTGGCCCAGGCTTTGGTGGAGTGTGACCCAGGCATTGCAGGGATGAAGCCAGCTGGAGGTACAGCATCTAAAGGGGCCCTTGTTGGGCAGAAATGGGCAAGGGCTACTTGCTGATGATGAAGGCTGGAGACCCAGAAGCCTGCAGGACCCATCTTCAGAGGCCCCCAGGCATCTGGAAGCAATAGCAAGCCCGCCGCTGCCCCCAGGACAGCCATGATGCTGGTGGCCTGAGTCCCAGCCTAGGAATCCAGAACCCTCTGAACGCTTCGAGTGCATTTTTTAAGTTTTGTGGGAAATTCAATTGATAGCAAAACCTGTCCTGGGCTAATCTGAGCTATTTATAGGCTTTATTTATCCCACTTAGGGTGAATATTCATATAATTCACTGCAGAAATATTAATGTGTTTAATTACAGGGTGCTGCCTACATCCCTGCTGGGGGCGTTATGTAATAAACGGTGTGTGCACTGTGTTACCTTTCCAAAATCTGAGGGAAAATATCTAAATTCCTGAACACATTTGACTCCCAGGAGTTTTGAGGAGGGGCTGTGGACCCGGGGTCTCAGAGCTGCGGCCACACTCTCTCCATGCACGTTTCTCATATAATTCCTGCAGTCACGCTGGGAGGGAGGCACAGCTGTTATCCACAACTTTTAGATGAGGAAACCCAGACCTCAGCCCTCGCAGCTAACAAGACTCCGATGTGGGACACGACTCCAGCTGATTGGGTCGGGGCCATGTGCTTTTGTCTGGGTGACCCGCACCTCAGTTTCCCCCACATGCATCCAAGCCGCAGCAGCTAGTGCAGTTCCCTTCTGAGTTCCACAGAAACGGGGCTGTGCTCAAGCCTCCACCTACTCTCACTCATCCCCTCTCACACTCACACTCACTCATCCCCACTCACACTCTCTCACTCATCCCCTCTCACACACTCACTAATCCCCACTCACACTCACTCACACTCTCACTCATCTCTCACACTCACATTCACTCATCCCCCTCACACACTCATCTACTCACACTCACACTCATCCCCACTCACTCTCATGCACCCTCTCACACTCATCCCCACTCTCACTCATCCCCACTCACACTCATTCCCTCACACACACTCATCCCACTCACACACTCATCCCTTCTCACACTCTCACTCATTCCCTCTCACACTCACACTCATCCCCACTCTCACTCTCACTCATCCCCACTCACACTCACTCATCCCCTCTCACACTCACCCTCACTCATCCCCTCTCACACTCACACTCACTCATCCCCTCACACACTCACCCTCACTCATCCCCTCACACACACTCATCCCCTCTCACACTCTCACTCATCCCCCCACACACTCATCCCCTCTCACTCACTCATCCCCCTCACACACTCACTAGTCCCCACTAACACTCATCCTCGCTCTCACCCTGTCTCACACTCACTCACTCATCCTCACACTCTCTCTTCCCTCTCACACACTCATCCCTCTCTCACACTCACACCTCACTCACTCATCCCACTCACACTCACTCATCCCCTCACACTCACTCATCCCACTCACACTCTCATCCCCTCACACACTCATCCCCTCACACTCATCCCCTCACACTCACTCATCCCACTCACACTCTCATCCCCTCACACACTCATCCCCTCACACTCATCCCCTCTCACACTCTCACTCATCCCCTCACACACTCATCCCACTCACACACTCACTCATCCTCACACACTCATCCCCTCTCACACTCACTCGTCCCCTCTCTGTCACTCCTCCCCACTCTTGCACACTCACTCATTCTCTCCCACTTTTATTCTCTTACACACTCTTACTCTTGTGTACTCATCACATACCCTCACACACCCATTCTCATGCTCACACACACAGCCATTGTCCCACTCTCACACCTACACACTCATTCTCACACTCACACTTTTTCCTCATACATTTGCTTTCACATACACACTGGTTTTTCGTTTTGAGACAAGATATCGTTCTATCACCCAAGCTGGAGTGCAGTGGCACAATCACAGATCACTGCAGCCTCGACCTTCTGGGCTCAGGTGATTCTCCTGCTTCAGTCTCCTGATTGGCTGGGACTACAGGCCTGTGCCACCATGCCTGGCTATTTTTTTTTTATTATTATTATTTTTTGTAGAGATGAGATCTTGCTATGTCGCCCAGGCTGGTCTAGGACTCCTGGGCTCAAGTGATCCACCCACCTCGGCCTCCCACAGTGCTAGGATTACAGGCATGAGCCACCATGCCCAGCCCACTCACACACTCTTACTCTCACTCACTCACTGGTTCTTACTCCTGCACACTCACTCATTCACTCATCTCACACACATTCCCTCTCACAATGCTCACTCTCACTCATGCTCACACTCACACACTTCCCACTCTCACACACCCACTCACAGAATCACTGGTTTTCACCAAACCCCTGCAGTGCAGAGCCGATGTCTCCAAAGGACCTGGGAAAGTAGTTCATCTATAACATGGGAAAAATCATGTCTTGAATAATAGCTACCACTTTGGTGGGGGGACCATCCCAAACCTTTCATGTGCATCATCTCATTTATTCCTCACAGTGAACTTGACTGTAACTGCCATCATCCCCACTCGTGAGTAGGAAAACCGAGGCTCAGAGATGCTGGGCAGCATGCCTCGAGTCCGGAGCCTGGAGGTAGAATCCAAGCAGAACTGACACTGGCATTGCAGCTCCTTTCCTGTAAACCCCGAGCTCTTGGCCCCTGCACCATGCTGCCTCTTCTCTGGGTCAGACAGTCAAGTTCAGGGTTCTGTCCCCAAGTCCACTCTTCCTCAATCTCATCTTCCCCAATTTCTTCAGCTACTCATCTCCCTGTGTTTCCTGTCCAGCCCAGGGGGTAGAACAGGGCTCCTCCTAAACTATGAACACTCTGATTCTTGCATTGACAATAAATTAACTAAGGGTGATGGCGGAGGAGAGAGCTCTGCCTTTCAAGTGGTCACTTGAAAGGGCTTGAGGCCTCAGCCACCGGCAGTTATTCCCACTTCCCCAGAACAAGGATTCTTAGTCACAAACTAGCTCCAGAAGGCCACGGACCTGAAATGGCACATGGCATGTTGTGTGGCGCAGACCTGTGACATCCTGAGCTGAAGGCCCTCCACCTCCCTCCAGTTCCCAAAGGGATCAGTAATCCAGAAGAGGTCAAGACCACTGCCTTCTGGGCTCCCAGGCTGCCCAAACTCATCACACCCCAGGTCAAACAACCCCTCACTTCTCACCCTGGCAGAACTCAGCTTCCAACCCATTCCTCAGGGTGGACTGAGACCCAACTGTGAACCAGAACCATTTCTTCTGAGACCCTAATCAGGTAGGTCCTGCAATCCAGCAGAGAATGTAGAAAAAGCCGTCCTGGGTTGAGTTTGGATGTTGCAGTATTGCTGTCCCGGGAGCTTCTTGGTGCTGTTGCAGGAACACAGGGCAGGGCGTGAAACCCAGCCGCTGAGGGTCCTCTCAGGCACACTGCAGCGGTAGCTCTTCTTCCCTAGTTCCTGAAGCCTGGGCCAGCCATCTTTGTGAGGCTCGGAGTCTCTTCCCTCAACTGAAAGCATCCGAGTGCCCCCAAACACAGAGGAGTCTCACCTGACGGAGGTCTTCCTTGCCGCAGATGACCCATCCTCCTTTGCTCCCAGCCACCTTGTGGCAGGTGCCATGAGACATGCCCAGAGACCACAACCAAGACCCTGATCTACAGCCCACCAGCCCTCCCTTTCCTCCTCTCCAGGGGTGGCCACGTACACCGACAAGTTGTTCAAGTTCCGCAATAACCGGTGGGAAGACATCCTGAACGATGAGGTCAACGTGGCCCGTGGTGTGGCCAGCCTCTTTGCCGGACGCTCTGTGGCCTGTGTAGACAGAAAGGTGAGTGCAGGGGTGCATGGGGGTCTGGGAAGAAGCAATGTGAGAGCCAGGAGAGGAGCCACTATGTAGACGTCCCCTGACAGAGTGGCGGCTCCCACGGTGTCTTGTGTGGATCAGGTGCTAAATACCACTTGGACTTGCAGAATGCATGACTCTGTGCCTTTCATGTCCTATTTCCCACGCAGCCCTCCCATAAACCAGTGAGGAAGCCAGCCAGGGGATCCTCTGGACACTCGCAGGGATGAAAGCCTAGCTTGGAGCAGTGACTTGCCTGGGAGCCCAAAACAGATTAGTGGTGTGGCTAGGACAGGAACCCACATCTTCTAGCTCTAAACACTGCCTGCATTCATTCACTCAGCTAACATTTATGAAGTGCTCCTGTGCGCCAGGCATTGAGCCATGGGGCCCTTCGCAAATATTTACGGAACAAATGAAGGCACAAAGGAACAAATGGAGGGTTGCCTCTATATACGAGTGCTTTAGTTCATCAGTAGCTCATCCAGCGTGTTCGTGCCCTGGGAGTACACCCTACAGGGAGGTGCCTCACCCAAGCTGGTTGGGGAGGAAAGGCGGAGTGAGGAGGGGCGTGAGCAGCTGCAGCCATCTGCCCGGTGAGGGGGCAGCCGCCCACCCAGGCTTGGGTCCCAGCAGGCCCTGCCAGAGCCGGCAGCTTGCTGCAAAGGTGATTTATCCCTCCTGTCACCTGCTCCCCGGTCGCCCACCTCCTTGGCTTTGTAAATAGTCATCACTAAATCAGGGGCCCAGCTGCTTCCTGGCTGCCTGGGAATGTATGTGGCCCCCATTCTGGGGGCAGGGGCAAGAGGCTTGGCTGGCTTTGGGATTGAGATGGCACCGAGGGGATTGGGGATTCAGCATGAATCTTTGCAGCAGGGCCTCCAGGACTTGGGAGAAGGCAGGTGCCAGGTATAAATATTTATTTCTTAACAAGCTGGTGCTGGGAGGAGAAGCCAAGCTGGGCTGTGAAGCCACATTTAGCCTGACCTGAATCTGTGCCACCTGGACTCCTGCCTGGTGGGAGGGGACGGGGAGGCAGCTCTGTGAACAGACCCAGAGTATGGAGTGGAGCTGGGGGGTGCTAGATCTGGTCATGGTTAGGTGACTTTTCCCAGCCTCCTGGTTTCCAGTCTCACCAGTTTAGGACTAAGGCTTCTGACAGTCAGCTAATGTGGGCAACTTCTCAGAAAACTGGAGAGAGAGGTGTGCAGGTTAATCACAAAGAGATGAACTCTGTCCTAACAAGGTCATCTGTACACCCACATTTAACCACAGGACAAAGGCACCATGTGAAATACAAAAAATAAAAAAAAAAATTTAAGAAAAGACATCCTGGCATTGCAGCACAGGAGGCAGGCATCCAGAAGCTTCACTCACGCCCTGCTCAGCCCTGACTTCAGCCTCCCAGGCCTCAGGGAACTAGAAAGAAGCGCTCCAGTCTTTCTGCCAGCATAGGAGAGGTTGCTTTTTGAGCCCAGCCACCACTTTGGCCATCCCTGGGGCCTGAGGACTGTCAGGGGAGGAGTGGAGAGAGGCCAAGGGCAGTCTGGAAGTTGAGAGAAAGGAATGCAGCCTGGTGCAGGAAAACACAAGAACAGGGACAACAGTGACAGCCAACACCTTTTACACTAGGGACATGCCACGCCCTCCACTGCATGGTTTACCTGCCCCATCCTACTGAGTCCTTATAAAATGCCAATGAGGTAGATGCCATCACTATCCCGTTTTACAGATATGGAAACTCAGGCTTTGAGCAATTAGGCAACTTGACCTTGATCACACGTGAAGCAACAGATGAATTGAACCTTGCCAGGAATTGAACCTTGCCTGCCTGAAAATGAAGCAGATGCCGTTTCACCTTCAGCTGCCCTGCCCCTGGGTGAAATTATAGCAGACACAAGTTTCTAACCACGGGTTCTGTTACAGCATTCACCCTAGTCGTCCTTTCTCAGCCCCATAGCCCCTAACTGGGGTGGGGCCTTTCAATCTAGCTACCTACTGGTCAGTGGTTTTCAGTATAGCCTCTAGGCCAGCAACAGCAGCAGCAGCATTGCTAGAAATGCACATTCTCAGGCCAGCCCCACCACCCTCCAGACAGACTGAATCAGAAACTCCGGGGTGGGGCCAGCAATCTGGGGTTCAGCTAGCCCTGCAGGTGACTCCGATGCATGCTGAAGTGTGAGAGCCATTGCTCCATAGATGTCTCAGCCCCGCGCCCACTCCACCTGCACTGTTCTCTCCCTCTCCCCTTCTGCTCTTCATTCATTCTCTGCCCCAAACCTGGAACATCCGCTTGTCCTTTCTCTCCAGCTGCCTCATCACTCACCTACCTTTCTGGATCCAACTCAAAGCCGATCTCTTACAAGAACGTTCCCTGATCGATAATGATTATGCCTCATGTTTATATAGCATTTTTACGTTTTCAAAGACCTTTCACATACGTTGTCTCATTTCATCTTTTCAACAACCCTGCCAGGAAGCAGGGGGAATATGATCCCCATTTAACATCTGAGGAGATGCAGCCTGGAGGCAGTCTGGGATTTGCTCGAGGACAGGGAGCATTTAGGGGCAGGCCTTAGACTAGGACCCGGGCTAATGGCCCTAGACCAATGGTCCTCAAAGTGTGATTCCCAGACCAGCAGTGTCCGCATCATCTGGGAACTTGTTAGAAATGCAGATTCTCGTGGCTCACCCCAGATCTCTTGGTCAGAAACTCAGGGGATTGGGCCAGATATTTTTTTTTTAAATGTGTTTTAATGAGTCCCCCAGGTGATTCTATTGTAGGCTAAAGTGTGGGAACCACTGCATTGGCCCCAAAGGTGCAGAAACATCTTCCTTCCCTTAGAATCTCTCACCCTCCCAGAATTAACGTGGTCAAGTTCACATGTGAATTTCTGCAGTCTTCTACAACTGTAACACGTCAGTGTTTATCAGTTGCCCCAATAAATCAAAGTAAGGAACTAGGCATTACTGAATTTTGTAAATACTCTAATTTCTAGTAGAGTGAATTTCAGTCCATTGAATTTATTGTACATTTATTGATGAAACTGCCGTCAGCTGGTAGGTTGGGAACGGTGTGTGATGGTGCACTTTCCTCTTTGGCCCCTTCATTCACTCTTCATCTAGTCATTCTGCACAGCCTGGGGTGGCTGTGAATCTCTCAAAGTTCTCCTCTATTCAAGAAGCTGTGTTAGGCCAGGTGTGGTGGCTCAAACCCGTGACCAGCACTTTGGGCGTCCAAATCGGGAGGATACATGGAGACACTAGGGGTTCAAGAGCATCCTCAGCAACATAGGGAGACTCTGTCTCTACAAAATAAAAAAAGAAAAGAAAAGAAAAAAAAAAGGCCAGGCACGGTGGCTCACCCCTGTAGTCCCACCTACTTAGGAGGCTGGGGTGTGAGGATTGCTTGAGCCCAGATTGGAGCTACAGTGAGCCTGGGTTTCAGAGAAAAAAAAAAAAGCAGTATTGTAAAGGAGTGCATCTCAAACTCCAGTTTTGCACAGGAATCACATGGCAGTCTTGCTACAATGCAGATTCTGATTCAGCAGGTCTGGGTGGGGCGTTCTGAGAGCCTATACTTCAAACATGATCCCAGAGGTCACCAACACCACTGATGTAGGGACCACTTAGAATAGCAAGATTTGTAAGGCACAGATTCCCAGGTAGCAGCATAAAGACTCAGACAAGCAAAAGAGAAGGAATAGAGCAATCTGTAGGGAACAAACTTACCACCTTCTCCGGCTTCATCCCTTGACACTTGCTGCCTTGCATTCTACATTCCAGCAACACTGAACTCACCGCTGTAGTTTCCCTACATACATCCTCTTTCTCATAGTCTAGTTTGGTAGAGACCTGGAAGGTTCTTTTCCCTCCAATTCGCCTGAGACTCCTCTTAGAAAAGCTTTTCTGAACTTCCCATAGGTAGGTGCACTTCCTCTGGGTGAGGAGCTCCTCGGCTATGCATGCAGGAAATCCGGCACATACTCTCTGCCATATGCTTGTATCATTGTTGATACATCTGTGTCACTCAGGAGACTCTAACAGGAAACTCTAAGCTCCCTCCTTGGCCTCAGACAGACTCATGTGGCTCTTAATCAGCTTCCTCAAAGAAAATGATCCCTTTGAAGATTGGTCAAGCACAATGGCTCATGCCTGTAATCCCAACACTTTGGGAGGCCGAGGTGGGTGGATCACTTGAGGTCAGGAGTTTGAGACCAGCCTGACCAATATGGTGAAACCCCGTCTTTACTAACAAATACAAACATTAGCCAGTCGTGGTGGCATGGATCTATAATCTCAGCTACTCGGAAGGCTGAGGCAGGAGAACTGCTTGAGCCCAGGAGGTGGAGGCTGCAGGGAGCCGAGATTGCACCACTGCACTACAGCTGAGGCAACAGAGCAAGACCCAAATAAACAAACAAAAACACAAAAAAAAAAATCCACAAAGATATACAGTCGCTGACCAGTTAGGTGGAACAAGGATTGTGCCTGTGGTGCCAATGGATGAGAAATTGAAGCAAGGAAAGAGGACCACCAATCTTGTCACTTTGAGCTCAAGAGTTTCCCTTGCGTCCTTTAGGTGTACGGCTTGCCTTTCAAACTAGATTATAAGCAACCCGCGGACAGGGACTTTGTCTTAAGTATATTTGTAACACGGCACGTTGCACATAGTTGGAGCTTAAGAAATATTTACCATCTGATTAATTGGAGGGAAGTGATGAAAAGGATAAGAGAAAAGCCAGGAAACTGATTTAGAAAGTGTGTGCATCTCTTGGGAAGAAGTCATCCGTTGAAGAAATAGCACCATTATAATAACAGGCAGAAGAGAAGAGTCTTTCATCAGCAGTGTTTTGGACTAGAGAAGAGAATAACTCTCACACAGAGGAGCTGGTGCCCAGGGCTGCTCCTGGATGCAAGGGAAAAAGCGAATCTTTGAGACAGTATTAAAGAAATAGAAGTGATATAATCTTTCTTTCTGGTAATACAGGGGAAATAAGGGAGTGGAAGAGGGAGGTAGGACCTCTGAAAATCTGTGCCTCTTGTGCTACCAAAATAGGGGAATGAAGAAGCATGGGGTGGGAACAGGGAGAGGGAGATGGCTCAGGAATTTGCTTGTCATCTTGGCTGGAGTGAGCTTGAATGGGAGAGAGAGACTGAGAATAATGGGAATTGGTAGATCAATCAATCAGCAAATATTTATTGAGCAGCTACCCTGGCTGGCAGCTAGAGAGAGCTCAGCTGGAGGGAGGCACATTAGAAAATTGTCTATAAAAAGGTGGTTGTGGGGGAGAGGGAGGGATGTGTTCTTCTGCAACAGGATGGAAGGAGAAGCAAGCTGCTTTGCTGTATGACTCCCGGGAGTGTCATTCACATGGTAGCCTTTGTGAAAAGCCCCTCTGGAAGTGTGCCACACACAGCCTGAAAGGCCATTCACAACAGACCTGGGGAGAAGAACCCAACCCCGTGAAAGAGCTATGGTCCTACCTGCGGTGGGGGAGTGGTGGTTTCTGGGATGAGCCAAGAAGGGCCTGCTCACCACCTCCTTCCCTTCTTCCTCAGGGCTCTGGACGCTACTCCATCTACATTGCCAATTATGCCTATGGTAATGTGGGCCCTGATGCCCTCATTGAAATGGACCCTGAGGCCAGTGACCTCTCCCGGGGCATTCTGGCACTCAGAGATGTGGCTGCTGAGGCTGGCGTCAGCAAATATACAGGTATGTGGAGCGGCGTGGGAGGTGGTGTGCTGGAGGGGCTGGGGCTGGGGTCCAGGGCCCTGCAAGGCTGAGTCTAATTCATCAGAGACCACAAGGAGAGGGTGGCCTGATGTCCCTGGGGAAGGGAGATAAAGACTCTGTTCCATCCAACCACCCACAGAAGGCATCTCCCACGCTGCCTCTCCAGGGGTTGGTGAGATGTCTGGCAGATGAGTTTTGGGGTACCCAAGAGGGGACATCTGGCTTGCTGGAAAGTGGGATGTGAGAACACCACATTATTTTCTCCCTGGAACCTCTTGCCCCATTCCCTCTGGTAACCTCAATGATGGGTGAGCAGGTTCTGTAGGAGAAAACTGACAAATCACAAAAGCCGAGATTTAAAGCATTCTTTATTGCCAAATCACAGATGAAATTATTTACTTACACATAAGCAGCCAGGAATTGAGTGCTAAATCCCTAAGCTTCAGCTGGGTCCCGTCTCAGATAACTGAGCTCAAAGAATTGTGTTCTTCTTCCAAAACCTTCTCCCGCACTTTTTTTTTTTGAAGGCATGCTCCCCCCTCATCTTTCTGGATGGGGGACCTATTGTCAGAGTCTCTGACAGGGAGATCTTTCTAGGGAAGGCTGTTTTTCTAATTCCAGCACGGCTGCTGACTAAACTCTGATAATCTGCCAATAGACTGCTGATGGCAGAGCAATCCAGTTCCTGTTTAGGGTGCCAAAAATCAGGAAGCCAGAGCTGTACACAACAACTTGTGATGTGAACTTCAGCCACACGCATACCCAACCTGCACTTCCCACAGAGAGATCCTCTTGCTGGTCAGCCTTCCTGATATATCCATCCCAGCGTGTGCAGCAGAGGCTTCCATCGTGGCAGCCTGCCTCAGTCTGAATCCTGGGGCTGGAAGGATGCTTGAGAGGTCCTTTGGGGCATCCCCCTGCCTCCAGACATTTGGCTGGTGGCATCATCTCAAGCCCAGAAAGGGTTGTCACTGCCTCTCCTGAGATTATCAAGCCTTTTTCTAACCACCTTCCACCCTAGTGAAAGGGAGAGATTAATGTTGACCTGTCTGACAAAGTTTGTCCAACAAATGACTGGACAATAAAATAGTTAGCACAGTTCAAGCCCCCACCTAAGTGCCTGAGAGCTCCACACATGAAGGGACCAGGGACAGGCTGTGTCAGTAATAAACCATGTTTCCTGGGAAAAGGAATAAACATGCAGGCGATTCAGCCTAGATTTGTACAGTCAATTTTTCTGAATAGTTCCTGGTTCTGTGCACTGGGCTGGCTTGGCAATTAAATGCCTTGGTCTTGCAAGGGAAGGGGGTGCACTGGGGGAATGAAGCACTTGAAAATGACGAGGTGGAAGGAGGCAAGGACTGGGAAAGCAGGCTAGACGCTGAATAAAGGATTCAGAGGTTTCGGCTGGATTTGAGCACGAAGGGGGCATTGTTCATGCTGGCTGAGCTGGCACGGAAATGAGGAGGGGGAAGGAAGAGACCCAGAGGAGGCAGCTGAGGAGCACGGTGGGGATGGAAGCAGCAGCCAACTGTGCCGGCTGGGCTGGAAGGACGGGCGGTTCACGGAAGCAGCAGCAGCTTTGGTGGAAGAACAGAGGGAGGCTGGGGCAGCTGGCGTGCCCAGAGGACACGTTCGAGCAGCTTTGCAGACTTCCAAAAGCCATTTGGCTGACAAGAACCTATTTGGCCCACCATGTTACTAATCTGTCTGCCCGCCTTCCCCAGCCCACCCTTTCCCTGCCCGCCAAGCCCCCCAACACTACCCTGCAGCCCCCTTTGTCACTCAGCTAATGACACTTGGACATCTGACTGGAAAACTAGCCCAGAGTTCCCCCATGAGCCCCAGGAATGGACCCCACATGTAAGGGCCACCATGCTGAGCCCAGCCTGATGGCTGAGGCTCTGGGAGCGTGGCCAGTGCTCAGCACCACTCCAGTGCCAGGGGACCTGAGAGGCAGTGAGGGAAGCAGGCAGGAGGGGCGGGGCCCTGAGCAGGGGGAGGGCAGGCCGTGTCCAGATGTGCACTCAGGGAGCTGGGAGGTCCCTGGAGCCAAGCCACACAGCACCTGCCTGCTGGACGCCTGTACAACCTGGGAGAACCTCCCATTTTACAAAGAACACACTGAGATCCAAGGAGGAGAAGGGACTCCCCCAAGGTCATACAGGAGGTTTGTAGAGTCGAGCAGTTAGAGCCTCATCTTCTCCTGAGGCCTAAACTGCCACCACCGGCTGACCTTTCTGACGGCCTCCTGCTTGAGAATCCTGCCAGCCTGCAAGATGGGAGGGGCTGTGAGGGGAGGTCCACACCCACTGGATGACAGCCCCAGGCTGGCACCAGGACTTGAGGCAGCCCCACCCAGGTGGCTGTGGCTGAAGCAGCTGCCTGGCTGGGTGTTCAGGACAGCGGAGGAGGTCCAGCCACCCCAGGGCAGGCCAGGCAAAGGTGCTACCCAGGCACCAGCCCTCGGCTCTATGGGAGGGGGAGGGGAGGCCTCCTCTCCAAACACTATGAATTCCTGTAGCCGCAGCTGCTCCTCTGGGTCACAGTGCCATCTAGTGGCCATCATGCCGGCTCTCGGGGGACTGGAGAGCCCTGGGAGGGTGACGGAGTGAGAGATTGTGAGAGACACTGAGGTAGTAGGAAGGCCAGTTCTGCATCCCCTGGTCCCCTGAGAATCCTGAGCCCCAACTTCCTCCGCTGCTTGAGGCCTCTTGGAGGCAGGACAGTGCCCAGAGCTTTCCTGCCTGGGAATCCTGGGAACTGGCTTCTGGCCATGGCCAAGGGCCTGGCATGGAACCAGATGGAACTAGAGGAGGGGAGGGTGGGAGGCGAGAGTCCTGCACTGCCTCTGCGGCCCAGGGCCCAGTGACCTTGGGCATGCCCCTCAGCTTCTCCAAGGGCAGTGAGCTAGCGGGTGAGGGGACAGGGTCTGGAGCCAGGCTGCAGGTGCAGGTCCAGCCTCCCTGGTGCATTCCAGTCTAGGCAGCAGTGGACGAACTATTAACTTCTCCCAGCCTCAGCCTCTTACCTTCAAAATAGGAGTGTTGTGAGAATGAAAGGAGGCGCACATGGGACATGACGGGCACATGGCCTGGCACATGGGCAGTGCCCACAGAGTATAGCAAATTCCAATACCTCCCGCTCTAAGGCTCCACCAGAGTTATGCCAGGGCCCTCTGCTGGGCATCTCCTGGGTGCAGAGAGCACTGTGCAAGGCACAGGGGGATGTACAAGAGGAGCAGGCCCGGCCCCTGCCTGGGGAACATTCTCTGTGTGTCCCCCCAAACTTCCCATCCTGAACATGGCCAGCAGCATCTTTACCCCCATCCCCGCAGGAGTTCAACTCTCTGCTTTCCTTGCTGACTGCCCTGCCTCCCCCAGGCTCGCCTCCTCCCCAGGAACTCTGCATTTTGGCCTCACCCTTTGAGGCAGCATCTGTCCAGGCTGCAAGGTGGTGATTAAAGAAGCCCTAAAAGAAATTCGGAAAGAAAATGAAGGTGGATTTATGATGTCGGGTGGGGAGTTTTGCTGTTGGCTGGGAGCGGTGTAGAACAAAGCAGAGGGCAGACCTGATTTATAGGAAGTCATTATTGGAGGTGACAGAGATGCCTAAAGCCCAGCTGAGGCCTTCTGGCAGATCCTCACCAGCGAGCTCAACCAGGGGCCATAGAGTGGGGGCCAGGGAGCCTCCTAGCTTCCCAGGCAGGCGCCGGCCTTTCGTTGGGAGTGAAGCCAGATCTGACAGCCAGGGACCAGGTAGGGCTGGAGTGACAGGCTCCCCAGCCAGGGCCCAGGGCCCCCAGGGAGTGCAGCACAGGCTTGATGGGGTACCCAAAGCCCAGGACACACAGAGACCATTTCCCTGGGGTGGCAGAGGCATTTGATGAGTATCAGCAGGGGGGAACATTGTTTCTTTAAAACAGATATGTTATAGTATCGAAATGTATGCATTTTTCTCAGCTAACGCAAGAGATTTTGAAGAAATGTCAAGCTTGTGGCTAACCACTCTGGGTTACACCCCCAGGCTACACCCCTAGGTTTTGCCAGTGCAAATACCCCTCTGTCCAGAGGGAACAAATGATGGGGCCTGTCTTCCTGACCTGCCCCTCCCCTTGCCTTAACATTCTGCAGAGACAGGTCAGGAAGGATGAGGGTAGGTTGTCCTTGTCTAATACCCTCCACACAGAGCAGTCGAGTCCTGCCCAGCCTCTGAAGGCCCCCAGAGGCTTGGAAGTGGCAACCCCAGCACCCACACAGTTATCTTGTCTTATAATTTTTTAGGAAATTTAGGGTAAGAGACCCTGTTTCCATCCTGCACTTCGTCCTCACACCCCATTCTCCAGCATGTGTGCACATGCATACATACCACACACACACACACACACACACACACTGCCCATTCTTGCACCACATTTGCAGCATCTCTACCCTACTCATTAACAATATTTTGGATGCTCGTGGCAGCCTGCAAATCATGGCATCTACCAGAATCCTGCTTCTATGAAGGTCTCAGCAGATGGCCAGGTTCCCTGGCTGAGGGGGCTCACTTCAGAGTCTTCGCTGATACAGAGGATGCAGAGTCTAGATGGGCACAGGGACCGGCCCCCAGCACGCCTATCCTGTGTCCACCCTGAGGATGTGTTCATTGCAAAGTGAAGATAGATAGAAGCGGTCTTGGAGATCCCAATTCCCACCCACTCTACAGGAAGGAAACTGAGGCCTGGAGAGCATACTTCCCACCATCCTGCAGGGGCCAGGCAGGAACCTATAGGCTTTACCTTAGCACCATGAGTTCTTATGCTGCCTCATCCTGGGTCCTCAGACCCACAGCTAGGAGAAGTTCAGTTGCAGGCATACCTCCCTCCCCACCACCTTTCCCTGCCTCGCACCCTAGTCCCTGAGGGCTGGCCTGGGTGCAGTCTGAGAGATGGATTGCCTGCACCCGACTTGTGTTTGGGTCTGCAATTGCCAGCATGCCAGGGCTCAGAGGTAGAGCGATGGTTCTTGAGGATAACCAAGGCTGCCCTATGGGGGTTGGGTCCAATGAGCAGATCATCAGAGTGCTGGAATGTGGCTGGAGGAAACGGGGACCCGGAAGGGCCATTTTCCCCACTAACTCCACCCCCTACCCAGCCTGGTGGGCAGAGTGAGCAGAGCCTTCAGCAGGGATGGGCAGGGAGGAGCAGTCACACCCCAACAGCAGAACAAGGAGGTCTTTGAAGCTTGAAAGTGCTGGGAAAAATAAAGAGATATTATTCACCCAGCAGGTGGTAAATAGTCCCAGCTAATGACTATGTGGCACCTGACATTTTCCAAGGCACCTTCCAAAAACCAGCTCACTTAATATTTATGACAGCCCTGAGAAGGAGCCATTATGTTTATCACTCTTATGTTATAGCTGAGAAAACAGAATCCCAGGAAGTTTCAGTGATGAGCACAAGGTCACACAGCTCAAACTTGGACTGTCTGACCCCCAGTCCTGTGGTCTCTCCCACTACCAGCATTGCCTCTCCAGCGCCAAGAGAATGTGCTGGCCTCGAATTATAAAAGAATTAATTGATGCAAGGTGGAGTAAACTCACTGTTAGAACATCATTCTCCAAGGCTAAATAAAGATGTTAGCCTTGGGTGCCCCCTGGGCAATCGCATTTGGTGAGTGCTAAACCTCAAGAGATGGAGGAGAGGGAGGGTGTGACAAAGGAGGGAGGAGAGGAGGGGAAGGTCCTGGTAGAAGACATTTCTGAATGTCTTATAAGTGGTATTATATATAAAGACCACTTATTTGCTGAATAAGTGGCCTTTGACAGTGGCCTGGCAGGATGTTGGCATGGCAGCCTACATAATGATAGGTGGATTCTGTTGGTTTGAAAACTTGCCTATCAACCTGGGAGTCATTTTCCTGGGGCATCAGTGAGGGGTGCGGGTACCTGGCTGCCCCGCCTCAGCCCCTAGTTGGGCTGCCACTGTAAAGCTGCTGGGGCTGGCGCCCAGGAGGCCAGCTCCCTGACTGTTGACTCACCTGCTCCCCAACTGTGCAGCCAACTTGCTGAGAAGGAGGTGTGGGTAACATCTCTGTTATGGTCCGGTTGCCATGGCAATAAATTGTGGCTAATTAGTAGTGTGGTTACCATGGCAATTTTCTAGTAATTACAGGTTACAAATGGTACAAGGCTTCAACCCAACCCAATTAGTTAATTAGAAAGATTTAGAAATTTGTCCAAAAGGGAAATAACCTGCTTTGTAGAAAATGAAGGGAATGTGTCACAGCTTGGGAGCCAGAGGCAGAGAGGAAATTGGGGGATGTGGAAGTGGAGGAAGAAGGATGGAGCTGCATGGAGGCAAGTCCCTGAGTCCCACCTGGAATTTCAGGAGGCCCGGGCAGGGCCAAGGGTTTCTCACAGAAGCCTGCTCCGGGGCTGGAGTCTGGTAAGACCAGGGCAAGGACAGCTGCCAGCAGCCACTTAGTGGCACCTCTTTTAATGGGCAGAGGTGGTGCCCAGGTTGTGACCCCACACCCTTTCCTGCTGGCTTTAGGACAGGACTCAAAGCTACCCACACCACTCCATAGCTCCCATCATGAAGAGTGGATGCTGCGTCTTGGAGGACATTCCAGAGGAGTGATGTGAATTTTCACGTGGCTTGGGCGCTCTTTGGCAGCTAGTGAGGTTATCTTGGAGGCATCCAGCCCAGAATGTGTTAACTATGAACACAATAAGAGTGGCAATGCCATTGTCCCACCCCATCTCCCTGGCCCCAAATGCCAGCTCTGGTGGGCAGGATCCATTTGCATGGGTGGAAAAGGCCCCATGATTTCCCCTGGGGGCACCTCTCAGGATGGGAGCCCAACTAGAGATCAAGAGAACCCCTGTCTCAAATAAGCACGGTCACTTTGGGGAAACCTTTGCCCTATCCAGAGGTGGATGGGGGTGAGGGAGGCCTGGCCCTTTACACAGGTCTACCTGAGCTTTCCTTTATGTTTTTAAATATCAAGTTTTTCTGGAGTGCTCTGATAACTCTTCTTATTACAGTAAACAACCCTTTAGAGCAGTACTTTTCAAACTTTAATGTGCACATAAACCACCCAGGGGTCTTGTTAGAATGCAGCTTCTGATTCCATGAGGGGCCTGAGGTTCTGCAATTCTAGCAAGCTCCCAGGTACCACTCCTGCAGCTGCTTCTCAGACCTGACTCTGAGCAGGAAGGTGGCAGTGTCCACAGAGCCCTTTCATATAGCTCATTGTACAACATTATGTTTTGAAATAACGTAGACATTGTGGAATGGCTAAATCGAGCTAATCAGCATATGCATTACCTCATATACTTTTTTTGTGGCAACAGCACTTAAAATCTACTCTCTTAGCAAGTTCAAGAATATCGTGATTCTTAAGTCGCCGCATTGTACAATGGATCCCCGAACTTACTCTTCCTGTTAAACTGAAGTGTTGTATCCTTTGGCCGACATTTCCTTAACATCCCTACCCCTAGCCCCTGATAAACACCAGTGTGCTCTCTGCTTCTATGAGTTCAACTTTTTTAGATTCCACATATAAGTGAGATCATGTGGTATTTGCCTCTCCGTGCCTGGCTTATTTCCCTTAGCATAATGTCCTCCAGGTTCATCCATGTTGTCACAAACGACAGGACTTTCTTCTTTAAGGCTGAGTAATACTCTGTTATGTATATATATCACGTTTCCTTTCTTCATTCATCCGTTGACGGACACTTCGTATCTTCACTCCCTATCTTGGCTATTGTGAATAATGCTGCAGTGAACCTGCAAGTGCAGATATCTCTTCAACACACTGATCTCATTTCCTTTAGATATATATACCCAGTAGTGGGATTGTTGGATCATATGGTGGTTCTATTTTAAAATTTTTAAGGAGCCTTATACTGGTTTTTACAATGTCTGTACTAATTCACATTCCCACCAACAGTATACAAGGGTACCCGCTTCTCCACATCCTCGCCAACACATGTGCTCTTTTATATTTTTGATAATGGTCATTCTGACAGGTGCATCTCACCTCATTTGGTCCTCCCAAAACCCCAAAGTAGAAGAGGCAGGTCAGACTCTCCCCATTTTACAAGTGAGGAAACTGAGTCTCAAGGGTAATGTAAATTGCCCAGGTGACAGAGCTTGTTAGAAGCCAGGCTGGGGCTAGAATCCACATCTTGATCCTGATTGGATCATTTTCTGCACAGTTCTTCCAGCGTTTGAGTGTGTCGCTGGGGGAAGGATTTCTCAGGGTAGATTTGTGTTCCTGGGAGCTGGAGGTTGGGGCCTGGCAAACAGAGATCCTTCATTTGAAACCCACTGAGTGGAGGTAGTTTGTTCAGGACATATTAAGTTTAGACTTCTTGACGTGAACAGCTCAAATCCGATCTTAGAAACTTCAAAGCCCAATGTGGAACTGGCTTGATTTCTTTCATTTTTAAAAAACATATATACTTTATTGGATTTCTTCCTTTCAAACTACAGAAGCAATTCTTGTTGCAACAAGTCGAACACTACAAAGACATTCAAAGGAAAAAGGCCAACTATCGTTTCTCTTTCCCTCCCCAAATCCTGCCCCATCAAGGAAGGCAGCCAGTGTTCACAGCTTGGGGTGTGGCCTTTCCCACTTTTCTCCAAACCGAATAAGCCTGCACAAACATGTATATTCAGAATAGCATGTGTTTTCCTATTTTTAAAAATAAAAGCAGGATCACACAATGCCATTACTTGGTGAATTGCTGATTCTTCCAACCATATATCACAGGCACTCCTCCAAGTCAATCCATATGGATCTATGCAGTCTTTTTACTGCAGAATGGTTTGTCATATGGATGCTCCGTAATCCTTTCAACCCGTTCACTGTCGATGGGCATAATTGTTTAACGTCAAACAAAGCAAAGTAAGCATCCTTGTACCTATAGCTAGGGACCTATTCCTATAGGTTCTTAAAGCTGGGACGTTGGTCTTGGCCAACACATGTTTGCATGTTTGACTCAAAGTGGGACTCGGGAGGCTGTCGGGGGATCTGTGACTTGATCACAATGGTAAGCTTAGAGCTGGGTTTAGGATTATTGTGGGTTTAGAAATTAAGATGATTGTTCAGCCACTTCTCTTAGAAGGGGAAGGCATGCGCTGGCCTCTGTGTGGGGTCCCTGTGCCTGGTGGAGCTCCTTCCTTCCCTCTTCATCAGTGTTGTCACCTTCCACACAGGTTCATGGAGACCATGGGCCCAGATTTAGGCTCAGGAAAGCACGGGAAGCAGAATCCCCCCTGGCTCCTCTGCGGAGCTTCCGCTGCAGTTCCCGACAGGCCTCGGGGGCAGCCCCGTCCTCCAGGTGGGCCTGGGGTTTGCTTCTGCCACTCACTGTGGGACCATGTCTTCTCCCAGGGGGCCGAGGCGTCAGCGTGGGCCCCATACTCAGCAGCAGTGCCTCGGATATCTTCTGCGACAACGAGAATGGGCCTAACTTCCTTTTCCACAACCGGGGCGATGGCACCTTTGTGGATGCTGCAGCCAGTGCTGGTGAGTAGAGGCAGCCATGCCCTGTGCACCCTGACCCCTCATCCCAGATCCACAGGGCACTCCAGACTGCCCCACCCCCTCCAGCATGGTCCCTTCTGGCTGCAGGGAGAGCCGGGCACATCATGATCTGCACCCCTTGGAGAAACACTGCTTGTCGTTTCTTATTCCCCATCTCTCATGGCTCAGGCCACAGGGAGTGTTTGCTGCTGGGGAGAGGGGTCTGGAACTCCTGCCCATTGTCATCTTCCAGCAGCTGGGATTGCCTGCGACCCTCCATGTCCTACTTGTGTCTCTCAGCATCAACCTATCCTCCAAGATGCCTCTCCCCACGTTGGCCCCTTCCCACATTTATCTTCAATGTTCAGATCAATACATTGAGCATTCGTGAAGCCCCTGCTATGTGTCAGGTTGGCACTGGGAACCCAGGATGCTGACTTGAATAAGGCTCGGGCCACCCCACACACAGAGAAGGTACTGACATTCTAGAAACAGATGTAGGCAGCCGGGCGTGGTGATTCATGCCTGTAATCCTGGCACTTTGCGAGGCCGAGGCAGGTGGATCACGAGATCAGGAGATCGAGACCATCCTGGCTAAAACAGATTTTAGTAGAAATCCCATCTCTACTAAAAATACAAAAAAAAAAAAAAAAATTAGATGGGTATGGTGGGGCATGCCGGTGATCCCAGCCACTCAAGAGGCTGAGGCAGGAGAATCGCTTGAACCTGGGAGGCACAGGTTGCAGTGAGCCGAGATGGCGCCACTGCACCCTAGCCTGGGTGACAGAGTGAAACTCTGTTTTAAAAAAAAAAAAAAGGAAAAGGAAAAAGAAACAGCCATAGACAAGAATATCCTACTCTAAGAAGAAGCAGGATAAAACCCACACAAAATAATGCCCCAGGCTCCCAGCTCTGCTCCTCCTCCTTCCTCTGTGCTCATCCCCCACCCACCTCAGGGCCTTTGCACCTGCCCTCCTGCTGCTCAACCTGCAGAACGTCTGTTTAGCCTTCATCATTCACCTCAAATATCACCTCTGCAGAGACCTTCCTGACTCCCTGTGCCACCTGGCAGAGCCCGGCCCTTCCACCTTGTGCTACCTCTGCGTGCACAGCTCACTCAGGCTCCACGTTGCCGTCATGGTTTGTCTATGAGCTTTACAAGGACTGGGTCACAGTTCTATTCATTCTTGACACAAGGCTTGGCATCCAGTGGCCACCCAGTAAATTCTGCTGAATGACAGAGTGGACACTTCTTGCAAGTTTTCAGATGTATTATTACATCCCATGTACCCCCCGACCATTTTCTCCCACCTTGCCAATGAATGGGAGGTTTGATCTCACCTCCTTCTTGGAGGCATGGGGAGAGCTCTGGCCTCCCGGAGTGGTGAGTGGGCTCTAGACATATAGATTCAGGTCCTGCTAGCTCTGGTGCTGGCAGTTGGCATCGAATCCCTGCACATGTGCCAGTCCACTCTCTTGTACTTGAGAATATCTGCCACCCCAGCTTTCTGCCCAGGAGCTTCACTGTGGGGACTTACTGAACACACACCCATCCCCAGCTTTTTGCCCTTCAGCCCCAACCTTGCCTTACCTCTTGCCCTTCTCTGGCAAGGCAGAATTTGGGCTCCCCTGGCCTGTCCTCTCACCTGGCTCACGCCTCCTAGTGCTATCCTCTGGCAGCAAATTTTCTCATTGCTGAAAAATTATAAAGCAAAGGGGAGGGGATAGTGGAGAAAACCAGGAGGATTTGATAAGGTGTTAAAGAGATGGAAGCAGAGGTGAGTGAACAAGTTGGAGTGGGAGAAGATATCAGGCAGGAGGGGAGAGGCAAGGTGCTAGGCCCGTAATTGAAAGTCAGAATGATTGCAGGGGTTTAACAAGACATGTCAAGAGGGCATTCATCACCCAAACAGATGCTACTGTGAAATGCAGCCTGGCACCGATTATTCCCGTGAAAAGGAACCAGCTCCTTGTCAAGGTGCCTCATAGATAGGAGAGAAATGGGCCAATGCAGAAGGCCACCGACATTTGGGCCAGGAAGTTTGGCAGAGAATTAATGGAGTATTAATCCTAGGAATTGGTAGCTGCCCCTAGTCCTCTGCAAACCCACTTTCTCAGGCCCGGGTATCACTGCCTCTTCTCCCCACACCTCCCCCAGCTCGTTACCTCCCCCGGGAGGATGCTTAGCCTCCAAGGTTCTCAGGGGGACCATCCTGCCTTCTGGCAAGAGCTCCCTGTGCCCTGGGGTCTCTGATCCCCACTGCCAATTACATTGTCCTGTTGCCTGCCATCCCAGAGGGCCTGACCACCCACAAATGTTTGTCCTCTGAAAGAGTCAATGTGGGTGGGTGCTTAGAGTCACATTCACCTCTGTCTCTCAGCTTTGCTCTGGCCAGTGGGCAGCTATGAGGTCAGGCCATCACTGTGGCCTAAGCTGCCCTCTCCCATACCCCAGGACCCACTCAGTGGATGGTATAAGCAGATGGCATTGGGCACAGAGACTTCACTTTCCAGATTTCACCAGGCATGCTGTGGGCTTCTCTGTCATGGCTATAGTATTTCCTCTGCTGTCACCCACGTCCCCGGTTTGCCTTCTGTCATGTTATTTATGTCTGTTCACTCATTCAGCAAGTATTTACTGAAAAATACCAGGCAACCACAGGCCCTGAGATAGACGCTGCGTGTACCCAGGTGAACCAAGAAGAGAGTCCTGACCTCATGGAATGTCAGGGCTAGTGGGAAAGCCGGACCCTAACAAGTAAACCACAAAGGAACATAACTGCACATTGTGACCAGCATATTAGAGAAGAATAGGAGGCTGTCAGGGAGATTGACAGGGTGGGCAAGACGAGGTGGGAGATTGACAGGGAGGGCAAGATGGGTGGTCAGGGAGGGCTTCCAGGAGGAGGTGATATTGTGGCTGAGAGCAGAATAACCAGTAACTGGGTAACCGAGAGCCAGAGGGAACGCATCCCAGGTAGAGAGACCAGATTAAGCAAAGGCCCAGGAGCTGGAAAGATGGGGAGAGTGGGACCAAATCGAGACCAGATAAGGCAGACAAGACCATGGTCAGGCAGAGCCTTGTGCTCCCCAAGCAGGAATGAGAACTTTCCCCAAGACAATGGGAGGGCCACTAAGAGATTTTAGCAAAAGAGTGGCATGATCAGCTTAACGTCTCCCAGTTAGGGGTGGCCAGGAAGAGCCTTTGGTCCTCCAGAATTTCCCCCAGTCTCCCTCCTCCCATCCATGCCGCCCTCAAACAGGGTAAAAATAATACGCATGCTGGGCAAACACAGCTTGAACACAAGTCTCGGGTTTTCTCTGCAACCACATGACTGTTTCACCTCCTGCCCCTATTGAGAGCTTCTGAGACCAGCTGTGTCTCCACATCTACTCCTGGCACAGTAGGAACAAGACAAGAGTCACCCTCCCTAGTTTCGTGTCACAGAGCTAGAGTAGGGTGAGTGTTTGTGGAGCGTGTGGGGATGTCACCCTGAGAGTTCTTGCCTCTCCTCCCCAGGTGTGGATGACCCCCACCAGCACGGGCGAGGCGTCGCCCTGGCTGACTTCAACCGCGATGGCAAAGTGGACATTGTCTATGGCAACTGGAATGGCCCCCACCGCCTCTACCTGCAGATGAGCGCCCACGGGAAGGTCCGCTTTCGGGTAAGAAGGGGCCTACCCCAGGAGTTCAAGGCCAGCCTGGCCAACATGGCAAAACCCTGTCTCTTAAAAATACAAAGATAGCTAGGTGTGGCGGTGCATGCCTATGATCCCAGCTACTCAGTAGCTGAGGCGCAAGAATCTTGAACCTGGGAGGCGGAGGTTGCAGTGAGCTGAGATCACACTACTGCACTCCAGCCTGGGCCACCGAGCGAGACTCTGTCTCAAAAGAAAAGAAGGAGCTTCTCACTCACTCCTTCCCACAGCACTGCAGGGGCGCCCTGGCATGCCATCAAAGCTGCCCCGCTCCTCCCACCAGGCTGAGCAGGGCTCTCCGGGTCCAGGGTAGTGTTGGTGTCACAAGGAAGGTGACACCAAGGGATGAGGGACTACAGCCAGGCAGCTGTAAGAGCTCTGGAGCCCAGAGTAGGACGAGCCGGGTCAGCAGAGGTGGTAGAGCAGCCTCTGAGGTGGGCCAGAGCCCTGGGAGATGGGCTGCACTCTCTGAATCCAGGCCACTTTTCCTGGTGGCTCCTGGAAAATAGATCAGGGTGAGTGTGGAGAGTGCGCAGAGGATATAGGATGATGTTCCCTGCATGTTCCGCAAAAGCCCAGGCTAAGCTTTTCAGACCTTTTCAGACTGATGTTTAGACCAAGGGCAAAGTGGTAGAGAGAATGGAAGATTGAAGCCACAGAGTTCCCAACAGCTGCCCCTGAAGACAAACAGCAGATGGCAGGCAAGGTGGCCTCAGAGCCCTCTCTGTGCCCTCTCCCTGAGCTGTTGATAGACTGATGCCAAGAATTCTTCAAAAGGGCTGTTTGTGACAGTGATGGAGGTGCCACCAGCCTGAGGGTCATGGGTTTGGAACTTTCTCAGGGAGGACAACAGAGGGCATGGGCTGGTTGAAGCTGATCTCAGGGACCCAGAACTGCTCTGCAGGTACTTATATCTGCCAAAAAAAACCCAAGGAAATGGGAAAGTTCCAGGGTTTACCTGAGGCTTGATGGTCCCAGGGAAGTCCCCAGGGACCTCGTGTCTGTGTGACAAAGGAGATGCCAACCCTACTGGGTCCCTTCCCTGTAGGCAGCCACCTTGGGACACTCAGGCCAGCCACTCCCCGCTGCTAAGGGACCCGGTAGGGTTGAGACTCAGGCTCTCTGGATAGGGGGAGTCGTGCCCTGAGCCCAGGGCAGCTGGTCCTGGGATCTTGGATAATTTCCATCTTTATTCTGCTCTTGTTCTCTCCCAGATTCTCAACAGGGATGATCTTGCTGCCCTCCCCCAGGACGTTTAACAATGTCTGGGGACATTTAGGTTTGTCACAGCTGGGGAAGGGAGTGCTCCTGGCATCTAGTATGCAGAGCCCAGGGACAGTGCTGAACGCCCTGCAGTGCACAGAGCAGCCCCACAACAAAGAATCATCCAGCCCCAAATGCTGCCAGGAACCCTGTTAACTCCTCCGACCAATGACCCCTCCCCAGAGCTCTCAGGAGCAATAATAATAATAATAAACGCCTCATTCATCAAGTGCCTTCCCTGTGTCAGGAACTGTGCTAAGCTTAACATACATTATCTCGGAAGCGCAGGCATCGAATGGGACAATCCCAAGGGGGCTATGGGAGGTTTCCATTTTTACAGGATCAATAGAATCATAATGGCTAGAGATCCTGAGGTCTTTTTGCTCCCTGGCTCTTAAGGCCCTGCTCACCCTGACCAACTGGCCGGGCTTATTCAACCTCATTACTGCTCTGATGGAGACAACCTCCTTCCCTGGCCTTCCCAGAGCAGGCAGCTTGCCCATTGACCCAGCCCGCTCATCCCTTTGGCCGCCAGAGGGGGCCTGCAGCAGGAGGCTGAGGGTGGGGCCGAGCCTGGGGCAGAGGAGACTCCCAGAGACACCACGTGTGCCTATCTCAGCCCTCTCCATGTGGGCCCTGGGACTTGGACAGGCCCTCAAGGTCTTTAAGGTAAAAACCAGCCTACGGTGAGGATATTACACTCAGAAATAGAAGGTTGCCCTTCCCAGCTCTCCTTCTATTTCAGAGGCAAAATCACACCCGGCACCCTTTGCCTGGTCCAAGGCCCTCCAGCACTTTGGAGTCCCAGCTGGGCCTGGGATCTCCCCATGAGTCCTGGACAGATGTAGCTGATACTGCAACCTCCTCAAAGCAAATGTCTGAAAAAAAATAAAAATAAAAAGGCTCCCAAGAAACAACATAAAGTCGTAGAGGCAGCCAAATCCACAGCCACAGGTAACCTCTTTCACCTTCCCTGAGGCTGGTAGCAGGTGAGGCAGGACAGGCTGCCAGTGAACTGTCTCATGCCCATTCTGTGCCAGGCATTTTACATGCAATCCTCACAACCCAGGCAGCTATTACTATTCCCACATTACTGATGGGGAAGGTGAGAACTGAGGGGTTAGTCACTGGCCTGAGATCACACAGCTAGTCAGTGGTGGAGTCTGGATTTAGATGCACAGTGATTTCCGGTGCCCACCCAGCTTCTGACTCAGCACAGAGGAGGAAGGATGCATAGGAGAAAGAGCACTGCATCCAGAATCAAGTCCTGGCCTCAGCCCCACTCAGTACCTGTGACATCGAAGTTCCCCTCCTGCCCCAGGACTCAGTTACCCCACCTGTCAAATGGGAATGCTAATGTCTGTACTGCCTCGAGGGATGGACAGGAGGGACAGACAGGAGGTACAGGTAGGAGGGACAGACAGGAGGGACGGGCGGGAGGGACGGACAGGAGGGACGGACAGGAGCAACAGACAGGAGGGGCGGACAGGAGGCACGGACAGGAGGGATGGACATGTGTGATCCAGACTAGGGAGCTGGTAAGCGCTTCGCTGGTATCTGTCATGACTGTTATTCTTCACTCCTTCTTCTCCTATAAGCAGCCTCAGGTCTGTGTCGTCCTAAAGGCAGCCCCCAGATCCTTTTGGAGAGGCAGGAGAGGAGCTGTTGGGTGGGGCTGTCTCCTATTTTCAACTGCCCCCACACTCCATAGGGGAGAGCTGGCTTCCTGCCTGAGCCACTCTCCTGCTGCTGACCCCCAGCCTTGTTTCCTCCAGGACATCGCCTCGCCCAAGTTCTCCATGCCCTCCCCTGTCCGCACAGTCCTGACCGCCGACTTTGACAATGACCAGGAGCTAGAGATCTTCTTCAACAACATCGCTTACCGCAGCTCCTCGGCCAACCGCCTCTTCCGGTAGACACTCCATCCTGGGTCGTGGCCCTTCGCCTGGACAGCTGATGGGAGGGACAGTCAGGGAGAAGGTTTAAGAATCAGAAGGGGAGGGTTACCAGGGCCAGGGAGTCCGGCTAAAGTGAAGACAGGTCCCCTGATGAAGAAACAGAAAGGAGAGAAGGACAAGGACTGGGCAAGAGGCTGTGGGAATGCAGGGTGAAGCCTGGGCAAGGAGCTGGCCTCTGCTATTGCAGGGAAAAGGCAAGGAATGGGGCCCAAAGTGTACCCAGAACCCAAGCTCCACAAGATACAAAGCCACACAACCATGAAAAGGGGCTGCAGGGTCCAATCTGTTTGCTTAACCTGGGTTAACAAAGATAAAGGTTTTACTGCAGGACTTCTCAGTGCCTTTAACTCGACCATGAATAGTTTAACTTTCCCAAAGATGGATGGAGTATTCTGAATAGGTCTCATCACAGGGCACTTCTTTCACAGATTTTTCTGTGGAGATTGGTGTTGTGCAAAACATCCTTTGGGAAATTCTGGATGACAAGTGTCCCTGGTGGACAAGGAAAAGAGTTTCAGAAATGGAGGGAAACTGCAGGCCTCCCAGCAGTGTGTCTAGGGAGGAAGGGCTGGATTTGCTGTGGCAGTATTTCTCCAAGGGGACGTCCAGAGACCATCGGCTTCAGAATCACCCAGTGTTTAAAGTACGGAATCCTGGGACCTGCCCCACATCTCCTGATTCAGAATCTCAGGGGGTGAGGCCCAGGAATCTGTATTTTAAGAGGTGCAGCAGGCACCAGGTGATTCTCACCACACTGAAGGTTGAGAACCACTGTTGGGGAACTGAGCTCAGGGTCTCCCCATGAGTCCTAGATAGGTGGAGTCCTGGAAAGGCATGTGGCCTGAGATGTCCCTGTTCCTGGCCCTGTTCCTGGTCAATGGGGCTCAGGACCAGGTGGGGAAATGAGGGTGGGCCAGGGCCTTGGATCCAGGACATGGGCTAGATCACCTGCTCTGCCCCCCAAGACCCCATCCCATCTCCCAGGAGGGCCCACCTATTTATAATAAAAGGCATGAGTGTGACTAAGCGTGTTTTAAAATATAATTATTAACAAAGCATCAATCCTGGCTGGATGTAATCACCCCCCGAAGGCACTAGATTTACTAATTAGGTGCCTTGGAAAAAGCTTATTCACAACTTCCAGATTAATTGCAGAAGATCAATTGCTAGTTAACAGAGACACTGCTTTCCTTCTCTGGCTAATAAAGTGTCACTTGCCGGGAGGACGAGGACTGAACACTGAGCACTGAGGAATCTAGTGCTCCTGTCTCTGTGGCCCAAGAACCTAGGTACCTCCCCTATCTGCCTACCCATCCGGCCTGCTTCAAACCTCCCAGCATGCCCTACGGCCAGGAGGGAGGACAAGGCAGGCTGGCCCAGGGCTGTCAGTGGACAGAGCAAGTCACCACGTGGCTGCCCAGAGGGTTATGTGTTTGCTTCCACGTAGCAGCAGCAGAAGCCACTTCCCAGGTACGTGGCTGTGCCCCAAGTCCCCGTGGCAGATGGCTGGGTCCTGAGCACACAGCAGAGAGGAGAGTGAGAGGAGCTGCAGCTGGGAATGGCACTCAGCTGGCAGCTCTGGAAGTTTAACCCCCAACTGTCCCACACCGCAGGGGCTTTTCACTTGTCACTGAACAGGCATCGTGGGCTCCTTGGCCCTGGTGCTCTCCAGGAACATGCCAGGCACTGTGGGGACACAAAGCCTCAGTATGCTTGAGTCCGCACGTCTTTTAATGATACCTGCAGCATCCAGGGAACTCATCACCCAAACAGTCACTTAATGAGAATGAAAGGGAGCCTTCCTAATAATCACAGCAAAAAAAGGAAAAAGAAAGAGAATCACAGAGGCAAAAAGGCATGAACAGGGACTCTCCTAGGCCAACGGCGGTGTGCAGGGTCACCGCCTTTCGCATCTAGCCATGCCTCCGATCTGCTCTTACTCTCCACCATGACACCACTCCTGGTCTCCCACAGAGATTCCTGCACCTCCTCTAGCTGGTCTCCTTGTCTCTAGTCCTGCAGAGTGAACCATTGAAAATGCAAGTCTGGCCACACCCCTTTCCCTCCAAAGACCCTCTAGAAGCTCCCCGTTGCCTTGGAATGAAGTCCAAACTCTTTGACACGACCCATGTGGCCCGGCTGCATCTCCAGCCTCATCACTCTCTACTTCCCTGTCTACATCTAAGCACTAGGCACAGCAAGCTTCCTTCAGTTCTGGGCTGTGGCAGGCCTCACCCTCAGGCTGCCCACTCCCTCTAGCCCCCAATTCTCCCTCTTCATCTGAGTGACACATGCTCACTCACCGTGCTGGTCTCAGCTTAGCTGACCCTTCCTCTAGGGAGCCTACCCTGATTGCCCAAATCTGAGTGAGCTTTCCCAACTCCGCACTGCCCACATCCCCCCTCTCCCTGGGCCTTCAGGCCTCTGCACGGCGGTTCCTGTTAACACAGACTCTGAGCTCCCTCCTTTCTGCCACGCACCGTACCTCGTGCAAGGCCTGGCACATAATAGTTGCTGCCTAAGAATGTGTTCATTGGGCATCACACCCATGCACGCTGACTCCCAAGCCCACTGCATGGGGCATCTGCCAGTTCTCTCTGCCACCCAGCCACCAAAGCCTCCATCTCAGGGGACCCCGACTCCCTCCTGAAGCTGTGGCAGTATCACAGCCCTCTGGTGTTTCTCACGTGCAACCTACATTGTGGTAGGAAGTGTGATGCCAATTCCTCCTTACAGCCTGCCTTCCCATCACTGCCCACACATCTAGGGCAGAGCACCCAAGGCTGTGAGAATATACCAGGTGAGAAAAATTCTAGAGGAAAGCTCACCGCCATCATCAGCTGAGTGTAGAGAAAAAGCAGGACTTTTTAAGCAGACGTTTCTGAAACAAATAACATCAAGATTCAAAGTTCAAAACAGACAGAACCCCTGCCACCCAAAGGGACCCCTTTCCTCTCTTTGGCCCTGGAATGCACCTTTGTATCCTGCAGACATGTGCTTGGAGCTTCTTGAGAGCCAAGCACTGTGTTAGATGCTGCAAGAGATGCAAAGATGAATAATGCAAGGTCCCAGCCTACGGAGAGCTCACATTCTAACAGGGGAGATCAGATGCATTCATACAGAGCTTTAACACAGGCAGAAAATGATAAAGGCCATGAAGAAAGAGGGAATGCTTCCAGCAGGATGGTCCAGGAGGGCATGGAGGACCAGGAGGTAGCACTGAGTGGGGTTAAACCCCAGGTAGCATCGCATCCAGAACTAGGAAACCCAGGGGCCACTTGAAGGACAAGGAAGGTCGGCTGAAGGTAGTTGTGTCCCTGCCCCTTCTCCATCCATCAACTGCCCTTCCCCAGGCTGCCTATAATTCATCCATTAGAGAAGGGAAAATCAATATTTACCAATGTGAATTAAAACCCAGGCAGGGAACAGGCAGGGTGTAGGCTGGGTCTGGGAGCAGAGAGTGGCTCCCTGGGCAGCCAGGTGACAGCCCATGCTCATGGGGACCTGGGGTTGCTCAGTGGACAGAATGAGTCAGGTGGGCCTTTAGGTCCAGGGGGCCTCTGAGACCCTGACAGAGCAAGCCTGTCTCCTCTCCTGCAGCGTCATCCGCAGGGAGCATGGAGACCCCCTCATCGAGGAGCTCAATCCCGGCGATGCCTTGGAGCCTGAGGGCCGGGGCACAGGTGAGGGGCATCTGGGGCATCTGGCCTGCATTGTCCCCTTAGCGCTGTTCATGCCCTGGGGTGAGTGCAGGAGGGACGAGGCAGCCAGTTTCATGGCAAAGCCTCTCCTGTCCCTGCCACACTGAGGGCTGAGATTCAAGAGCAGTGGTGAGAGTGAAGATAGGGGAACCCTGGGGACTGCCAGGCAGGAAGCAAAGGAGAGGATGGGCCACTACCCCAATCCCGGGCTGATGGGGGCGGGGGAATGGTAATCTGTGGGTCTGTGGGCAGGAGCCTCTCTGGCTTTGCCGTGTGGGGACGGAAAGGAGAGGAGTGACCCCTTCTGCTTTTAGGAGGAGGATCTTCCCATTTGACCCCACCCCTCTTGGCACTCAGCTTGTTGTCAGAGCACTGGGACAGGAGTCCCAAAACCCAGCTCTGCCACTGCCTCACTTTGTGGTCTTGGAAAATCAACACTACCTTCTGGGTCTTGTTCTCCACATCCATAAAACTGGGATGATTATATCTGTCCTCTTCACATCTTTGGGTTATAATGAAGACTAAAAGGGGCCTTTATATATGCAAACACTTGATAAATTGACAAAAATATCTGTGCAAATATAACAGATGTGTATTATTCAAACCATAATAGAAAGACCAGAAAGAAGTGCATTTGGTCTGAGTAATTTGCAGGCACCCTCTCCCTGCAAAGACCAGGTGAAGGAAGGAAATGTCTGTCACCTGAGTCCTATCATGGGGCGGCTGTTAGGAAGGAGAAGAGATGGGTGCCAAGCCCAGCCTTCCTGTCCCGGTGCTGTGCTTTCTCTGGCTCCCACTCCCAGGGCTGTGGATACTGCACTTGGCTGGGAGCCCCTCCCCTCTGTGGGTCTCCAGGATGATGGCCAGAGGTGAAATCTGCCTTGTTTGTAGGGGGTGTGGTGACCGATTTCGACGGAGACGGGATGCTGGACCTCATCTTGTCCCACGGAGAGTCCATGGCTCAGCCGCTGTCCGTCTTCCGAGGCAATCAGGTGCGCTCGGACCTCAGGAGCCACAGATCCCAGCCCAGTGTGCTCTCGGGTACCTCGGGTTGGTGAGGGCAAAGCGCTGGGTGCTGCCTTGGCCAGCATGGCGGGTAATGGCATTCCCGGGCCCTGGAGAAGGAAGGAGGTAAATTCCAAGCAGCACAGGAAAGCTCAGGAAGGGCCACCTCCGGAGAAGCCCTTGCCTCTCTGCCTTCCACTCTCATTTCTCTGCCAAACCCTGTGCCCTGAGGCCCTTGGATTTCGTCTCCTTTGTCTGCCGTGCCTCTCCGTCATTCAGCCAATCTGTCTTTGCTTCATTCATTTTTCTTGCCTAGCTTCCTCTTTCTTTTACCCTGCCCGCTTTCTTCTCTACCTCCTTCTTCCTCCTCTCCCGCTCCTGTCCTCCCTGGCTCCCTGCTCTTCCCACCCACCAGGCTGATGCCCACTCTGTGTCTGCCTCTCTCCCTCCCTGCAGGGCTTCAACAACAACTGGCTGCGAGTGGTGCCACGCACCCGGTTTGGGGCCTTTGCCAGGGGGGCTAAGGTCGTGCTCTACACCAAGAAGAGCGGGGCCCACCTGAGGATCATCGACGGGGGCTCAGGCTACCTGTGCGAGATGGAGCCCGTGGCACACTTTGGCCTGGGTGAGTCGGAGTCTGGTGGGGGATGGTGAGCTGTTATCAGGACAGCAGGATGCTGACTGATCCGGGATTCACATCCTGAGCATTCTTGGGTACCGCTCTACTGCGACAGCCATGGTGGACACCAGCTACTAGGGACAAGCCCTGCTCTGAGACGAGCCTGAGCTCAAGGAGAGGCAAGTGGGAAGAGCTGGTTAGATTTTCATGCGTCTCACTTGCAGGAGTCCCCACCCCAGTGCCTCTGTGGAATTAGTTCACCTTGGGGTCAGAGTGTTTAATCCTCCATTTGTTCAAGGCTGTAACCTTGTTCAAATGCTGGTCTGCACCAAACGTGTCCAAACCAGCTGTTTCCCTGGCCTCTTGGGAGCTGGTTCAGTCTTGAACAGAAGGCTTGGGAAGCCATGCATTCTCAACGGGAGTGAAGTCACCCCAAAGGGGAAAGAGTGAGTTCTTGGCAGGGGTGGGGGAAACAACAAAATCCTATGTTTTTTATATATGCAAAAACATCAGGCGCCGGGTGCAGTGGCTCATGCCTATAATCCTAACGCTCTGGGAGGCTGAGGCAGGTGGATCCCTTGAGCTCAAGAGTTCAAAACCATCCTGGGCAATATGGCAAAACCTCATCTCTACCAAAAGTACAAAAAACATAGCCAGGTGTGGTGGTGCATGTCTGTAGTCCTAGCTACTTGGCAGGCTGAGGCGGGAGGATCACCTGAGCCCAGGAAGGTAGAGGCTACAGTAAGCTGTGATGGCACCAGCCTAAGCTGGAGTGAGTGAAACTCTGTCTCAAAAAATAAAAAAAGCATCAACATACATATAGCACATAAACACATATACAGTATACCTATGGCATTAATGTCACTATCACTACACACCTATTAGAACAAAAATTAAAAATAGCAGCAATCCCAAATGCCGGCAAGGATCCAGGTAGCTTCTAGAGATCAGAGAAACTGGATCTCTCATAAATCGCTGGTGGAAATGTAAAATGGCTTATTTTAAGAAAACAAAACAAACCTAAGCAAACAACTACTACTCTATGACCCAGCTATCATGTCCCAAGCCATTTATCCCAGAAATAAAAACTTACATCCACAGAAAAACCTTTCCATTCGTTCATAGTATCTTTATATTTAATAGCCCAGAACTGGAAACAACCTGGGTGTTAATAGTTCAAGCAACTGCGATACAGCCTTTCCATGGAATATTATTCAGCTATGAGAAGTATAAACTATTGATACGTGCAACAGTTGGGTGGATCTCCAGGGCTCTATGATGAGTGAGAAGAAGGGAGAAAAAGCTCATCTCCAAAGGTCATGTACCGTAGATTCTGTTTACATAACATTCTTGAAATGACAAAATGATAGAGATGGAAAACAGATAGACAGCTGGCAGGGCTTAGAGATGGTGGAAGGGAGAGGAGCAAGTGGGACTCTCAAGGGCAGCCTGAGGGGATCTTGGTGGTGATGAGACAGTTCTGCGCCTTGGTTGTGGAGGCTGCTCGGATCTACACATGTGTTAGAATGACACAGAATGATACACATGCCTCATGCCAGGGTGTCTCCCCGGGTATGCAAGCTGCAAACGTGGGGTGAAACTGGGTGAAGGGCACAGAGGAGCTCTCTGTACTATCTTTGCAACTTCCTATGAATCTATAATTATTTTAAAATACAACATTTTAAAATAAATGTATGGGGGGAATCGGGGAAAAAGTCTAAAGAGTTTTCTGGCAGGGTGAGGGGATTACAATGATGGAAAAAACATTGGGAAATGTGGCAGGAGTCGGGGATCCCAGAGCGGCTTCACTAAAACGCCGTAGTTCAGAAAGCACTGAGTCAGGAAGGGCTTCACTGAGCTCCACTCATTCCCAGGTTTCAAATCAGACACCTTCCCCAGGTGTTTGCACCTGGTGAGGTGATATCATTTTAATATAAAAGGAATAGACACTATGGTCTCAAATTAATAAATACAAATGTTAATATTATACACACATCATATGAGCAGAAAGAAAACTGAAAGGAAATGCAAAAAGTGAGCACAGCGATTCTGTATGAGTGGCTGGATTAGTAACTCACTTCTTCCAGACGCAGCGCCAAGCACTTCACTCTTATTACTCCATTTAATCCTCATGACTACCTTGTGAGATGAGCAATATTATCCGCATGTTACTCATGGGAAAACTGAAGATCAGAACAATTAAGAAACCTGCCAAGGTCACATGGTACTTAAATGGCAGAGCTGGGATTCAAACCCAGGCTCCCTTGAGCACATGATTTTTATTTTCTTCCATGTTTTGTTGTGTGTGTGTGTGCACTCCAGTTTTTATAGGGAACACATAATGTTTATGTGTAGCCTGAAAAAGAAGCAATAAATATTTAGGGGACCCAGGCCCTGGTTATATGATCATTTTCTTGGGCTATTTCACCCTGGATAAGTCAGCCTGAGGTTGGAGTGTTTGTCACTCCTAAGGCGGCTATGTGCTAAGCTGGCCCTAAAGGCACAGGACACCTTTTAAATATAGTCCTGTCTTGCAAAGTAGCAGTAGCCAATACTTATCAAGCAAGTAGTATGTGCCAGGCACTGGGCTGAGTGGTTTGCCTAAGTCACTTGGTTTGATTCTTACAACTTGAAGAATCGGGTATCATAACCCAGGTTTTATAGGTCAGAAAACTGAGGCTGAGGTCAAGTAAGTTGTCCCAAACCACACCTCCACGGAGTAAGGAGAGCTGGACTTGGATCCCACCTCCTTGAAGCCACGGTCTGAGTTCTCGACAGTGACTTACCACCTATGGTAGCTGCTTTGTGTGGCCAGCCAAGCACCAAGGTGGCCGCCATGGCATCATAGGTGGTTGTTTATCCAGGTGTCTGATTGGATATCAACTCTTCCACCCCATTGTGTGGATAAGGACATGGAGGCTTACCTTGCAAATAAATGGCAAGGGCAGGATGGGGGCTGAGGTTCTCCTGCCCCACATCTCAGGGGCTGCCTCTGCTGTTTTAAGAGGTGTGTTAGGGGCCTCACTTGGCCCTTTCTCTGGCCAGAATCTGCCCTGCCAAGAGAATAGAATGCTTTTTTAACTGGAAAGCTCAGCCGGGTTGTGTGTGGGGTGAAGGGGGATCAAGAGCCCCTTCTGGGCCGCCTGCCCCCCATACTCAGGGTTATGTACAGTGTGCCTCATCAAGAGCTCCACCTGGTGCCAGTCCTTGCTATTTTGCAAGGCTCTGGGATTTGTTCTTGGTCTGAACTCTGGCTCAAACTGCTTTAAGGGGCCTCCTGGCAGACTCCTCTCTGTTGGCAGCATCCATTCCCAGCAGCACTGGAAGGCAGTTGGGTCTAGGGACAGGTCCCTTGGGTCACAAGGCGCCTCATCCGGTGGCCAACCCAGCCACCAGGGACATAGCGAGAGTCAAGAGGCTGGCAGTTCCATCCCTGCAGCTCCAAGGCCCCTCTGGATCTCTTATGAGTGGAACTCAGCATAGCCCTTCCTGACTGAAGGGGGAGCCGGCAATGGAGCAGGAGTGAGGGCATCAGTGGAGATGGCCAGCTGGAGGGAAGGACTGCAGGAAGAGAGAGCAGGGGAGACCGAAAGACAGAGATGGGCCTGGGGAAGACGGAGAGAGGCAGAGACATGGGGAAAGAGGCAGATCAGAAATGCCCCCTGCCCTCCAGGCTGGCAGTGGGGCAGAAGGCAGACAGGCACGGGACTCTCCTGCGAGGCAGATCTGGACACACTGCCATACTGGCCCCATGGCCATGAGAGGACCCAGGCAAGAGAAATCAGTTTTGTTCTGGGCAGCTTCCCGGAGGAAGAGGGACTGGAATTGTGTCTAGTACAGTAGGAGCTTAGGAGGGGTGGACAGGGGCCTAGGGAGGCCTTCCAGGGTGGCATGGCCAAAGGCCCAGAATTTGGAAGATCCAGTCCAAAGAATGGGAATGTTTTGGAAAACTTCTTTTTTCTGATTATAAGAATAATGCATATTGACTATAGGAAATTTAGAGAATTATTTTTAAAAGAAGTAAAAATTACTCATCATCTGACCACTATGTTTGGAATATTAAGGAAAAAGCAAATGTTTCTTCCTTCACCTTCCCTCAACACCATTTGATTCCTTTAGTGACTACATATTAACGGAGCACCTACTGTGTGCCAGACACTAAACTGAAGATCCTTGCCACAAGCCATCCTACGTTCCAGTAGAAGGAACTTATACACATAATACACATAGTAAATAGGTAAATGTATAAAATGGTAGAAGATATAATGGGCTATGAAAAACGAAAATGCAGAACAGAGGAATGGATTAGGAGTGCCAAGGGGAAGGGGCAAGGAGCAGTTTTCCAACACAGTGGTCTGGGTCGGACAGGCCATGCTTGTGATAAGCTTTTATTACATGTCATATGCACAGGAACGCACTTACAGATATATGCTTCTTGGCAATTTTCAAAACCAACATAATGTTACTTTCCAATTGTTTCCCCGCCCCGCACCCTTAACCATATGTCCAAGCCTGGGTGCAGTGGCTCATACCTATAATCCCAATGCTTTAGGAGGCCAAGGAGGAAGGATGGCTTGAGGCCAGGAGTTCAAGACCAGCTTGGGCAACATAGAGAGACCTGCACTCTACAAAAATTAGCCCAACATGGTGGTGCAAGACTACAGTCCCAGCTACTCAGGAGGATGAGGCAGGAAGATTGCCCAGGAGTTTGAGGCTGTAGTGAGCTATGATCACAACACTGCACTCCAGCTTGGGTAATAAAGTGAGAGCCTGTCTTATATGCACATGTGTGTGTATATGTGAGAGAGAGAGAGTGTGGGGGGAGGTGCATGAGAGTGGGTGTGTGTGTGTGTGTGTATGAGAATGTGTGTGTGTATGTGAGAGAGAGAATGTGTATGTGTGTGTGTGTGTGTGCGTGTGTGTGTGTATGCACATTCTGGACAGCATTGTACATCTGTGCGTATCTCTTGTTTCCTTTTAGTGTCGAAGAGTATTTCACTATGAGG